TGGTGCAAACATATGGAAGGAATCTGTCCCAGACTGCATTTGTCTTTTGCCGAAGCTCAGACTCTGGCACGGGATCGGGAACGTTGGAAGTACTGTCTGACGCGTCTTCCTGCGCGACCCGAAAGGAGAAGCGGCGATGATAGATGAAGATGTCAAAATTAAATGACAAATAAGTGACATTAACAGAACAAAAACAAACAACTATGCTAGAAACAATGTGCCATAGAAAGCATTCGAAGAGTTATTATATGTGACTTTAAATCAGTCACGCTGCCTTTAACGTTAATTACTTTCGCCATACCGTTTACGTGTCGTTTCATCAGGTAATCTTGAGAAAATTTACTCCGTACATAAATTTTATTGAACAAGTTACCGACAAATCTTTTGGAACAAATATATATCAACAGGTTCGCACGATCACGTTCAATTTTACTTTATGCACTTGCTGTTGCACCATACATTTTGAAGATGGACCTAACTCAATTAGACTCAACTCAATGTCAAATAAAATTTCTACGCCGAGTGACGCTTTGAAAGGTTGGTGAAAGGAACTTAACACCAGTATAAAATTCAAATTATTTCTTTAATACAGGTATTTTTCGCAGTTAATTAGTAAACCATTGGAGTAAATCTGTACATGTATGATATGAAGATCTGATAGATGAAGAGATAAACAAAAGAATTCTGGGTCCAGAAAGCACAAACGTGATTTATAAAAGCATTCGATGGTTCTCAAATTTGTTCCAATTTCGCCGTGATCGCACAATAACATTTTAGAACAATGGTCTTCAGCAGATAAAGATTTCGAATTTCATCGGCTTTCCTTCTTCATTCCTTTGCTGGTTATTCTGATGTAATAAATTTTCGTATGATGAAGGCAGGGATTGTAAAAACTAATTCAAAGTTTTGATCAGCAGACCACCACGGGACATTGTTAAGGTAAGGCCACACATACATGTATGAACGCCTAAATATAGTTTCGTACACCAAATTTGGTAATAGGCGCACGCCTATTTGAAAACGCGTTTGCAGGACTTATTATGTTCAATGAAACTATTTCAGAAGACAATTGCTCAATTACACGTGAGAATCTGAAATGATACATCTTCCACCATTTTATGAGCCAATACCAGTATCATACTGATCACCCATGATGCTTCGGGCACAGGCACTCCTCCAATGCGAAGCTGAAATCCGCCATAAAATCTGGTTTTGGAGGTGTCAGTTTACACTGTATATATTAATGCATCTTGTCGTAAGAATCTATACTATTTTGCGAAAGTACATAAGGAGAATTTGATTCTGAAACATCACGGACAACGATATATTGCAATGTCACTTCCAATACATCCAAATGCTATTTCAACTCTTTACCCTTTCACTACGAATGACTTTGGACGTGACACAAAGTT